CCCAGTGCTGAGAGAACATTTACAGAGTACATTCTACCCCTGACATGGATCACGGCAATGCTCACTGCATTTTTTACGTGAATATCTTCCCTTCAGAAGTTAATTCTGAGATAAATAGCTTGTCTTCTAAAGACAGTCAAGTGCCAGACTACGGGATAATATGTTCCAAGCATAAGTTACTAAACTGGATGATAACCAAGAGCATAGAACCACATGTAACTTTTCCTGTCTTTTGCTGCTGTTGCTGTTTTAAGATGGGGTCTGAGGTAGCCCAGGCTAGCCTCAGACTCACCATGGAACCTGGGATTCTTGAGCTTTAAATGCCAGGCCCTGCAGCTTCTACCCCTCAAGTGCTCCGACTACACTTGTGTACTACCGCCGCATCTGGTTTGTGTAGCACTTGGGGTTGAGCTCAGGGCCTCATGCCTCCAGGGCAAGGATTCAAACCAACTCATTCGTGGTTCCCACTGCTACGTGTGCACTATAAAATGTCCAAGAGGAACTACGTAGGTCCAGATCTCTGGTGTGTGCTGTGAGGGCTGGAGTTTAAAATGCTGTGCTGTACTGGGGATTTTGCTAAATGAGTATGTTCTTACCATGCATAAGAACAGGTAAATATGTAAGATGACAGGCAGGTTGATATCCTTAGCGACAACAAAAGTTCACTGTATGTACTCCCCAGTGTGATGTCATCACACTTAATGTTCACAGTAAAATGTGTAGAGTGGATTATTGTGTGCTAATATGACTTTCCGTTCTCTCAGCCTCAGCATTAGGGTGTTACCTCTTGGTTGCAACAGCACACAAGACTGGGTGACTCACAAAAGGTTACTTTCTCAGATTGCTGGGGGCTGGGAGGTCCCATACTGAGGGGCCAGCACCTGCTGAGGGATGTCTAGCTGTGCCTCCAAGGTAGGAGGTGAGGGAACGAGGGGGAGATGACAGGGATGGAGAGGGAGGGAGGGAGGGAGGGAGGGAGAGAGGGAGGGAGGGAGGGAGGGAGGATAGAGGGAGGGAGGGAGGGAGGAGAGAGGGAGGGAGGGAGGGAGGGAGGGAGGAGAGAGGGAGGGAGGGAAGCCAAGCCATTCCTTGTAAGATACAATCAAATCACAGCAAGGTGAGACATTTCAAATATGATTAAAAAATAAAAACAAAACAAATAAGCAAACAAACAAACAAAAAAACCACTGCAGCTACACCACTATGCAGTGCCAAAAGCTATCTATGCTTACATTAAACCAACGATGCATCCTATGTTAGAAATCAAAGGCATGGCTCTCTACCTCACTACATGTTTGAGGATCATGCGATCAGCTGGTATAGCTGGAAGTTGCTGGCAGAAAATACGAGACACTGAAAGAAAGACCCCTTAAAGCTGTTTGGGGGTGGGCAACATTTACTCAATGAGAAATGCACACAGCCTCTGACTGGGCAGCTTCATTGTTAAGAATTCAGTCTACTGAAGGCTCCACACATGAGCTCAAATATGTATTTCTGATGATGGTTACAGTACTGTATTTTTTTATAGAGAAAAATATCAAAACAACCTAAACGGCCAACAACAGGGAAATGGCTAAACGAATTATGGCATATCCTTTTAGGAAATTTAGTACTGCCATATAAAAGATAAAGATCCTTATAAAAAACTATCTCAGCAGATAAAAGGAAATCAAAGAACAAATTGCTCTCCGTTACTCTCCTTTTGTGTGAAATGTATGCACAGAAATGCCCTCTTGTAGGACAGAAATATATGTATAAATACACACAGTAAACTATTTTCTACTTTAAAAGTCTTATTACAACATAATTCACACCCCATTCCAACCACACACTCAGCATGTATGATTCATGGCTTCTATTATATCCAGTCATGCAACCATCACAGTCATCAACCTGAGCACACTCCATCTACAGAAAATGAAAGCTCAGACCCGTTGATGGTCACTTCCACTCCTCCTCAACAACTCCCCACAGCCGGAGGCAACTTCTAATCTGCTCTCCATCCCTGCCTGTACATAAATGAGTCTTTTTGTTTCTTACATCTATGCAAATCTTTGCAGCATATTGACGAAGGCTTTGTCTAACTTAGGGTCACAAATATTTTCTCATATCTTCTAATTATTTGATCATTTTCACCCTACTACTTAGACCTATAATCTATATTGGTACACACACACACACACACACACACACACACACACACACACACACACACACACACTACTGAGAAGGAGTTCTCCCAGAAGCTACTGGTTGGACTGTTTATTCTCTCCCCGTGGCAGATCAATCATCCATAGGTATGACAGTCACATTAAATACTTCAGAATCATTAAAGTTACTTCCAAAGGGACTAAGCTTGAGGCTAGCACATGACATCAGGGGGAATTGTCTTTAACTTTCACACATTTGAGTCAGTGAAATGTTTATAATGTGTACATACACCTCTGTAACTTAGTTACCATTTTCCTTCTCTTCATGTGTTTGGATTTGTGTTTACATGTACACACATGCCTGTACAACACACACCCAAATGCACTAAGAGAAGGGAAATGGTGTGTGTGCATGTTTTCATGTGTGTGGTGTACAGGATACTCTTAACTACTGAGCCAATACCAGCCCCAAAATATCATTCTTTAAGAACAGGATGCTTGGTGCACATATGTGGTTAAGAGAAACTGATTTCCCAGATAAGCAGTCTGCCATGCAGAAACACCCAGCGAGGGAACTCCCCCATGCAAGATATTTTAAAGTTGGGCTTCCACATCTCAATCAGAACATAATGCGTACACCACACAGAAACCCACCCACCCGCACGTGTTTAAATGAACCTTGCCTTTGGAGATGCTGGGGAGATGTGTTGTTAGGGAACAGCAGGGAAAGGATGCTGTGAGTGAGCATTATGGGATGCCGCGCTCATGTTCTCTTGGTTGTCCCACCTTACTTCTGAATTACAAAACTTGGTTTGTGGCTTATGATTAAGAACTGCTGCTGTCTTGCCCCATGCTCATTCCATTTGACGAGTCGGCGGTGATTTAACTGGTCTGATGGCGTCCTAAGGAGAGCCAGTGGGATCAAATCCTTTTACAACAGCCCGGAAAGGGTCATCTTTTAGAGCTTGAAAGCCATGGTGCTTCTCCTGCATTCATGGGTTGCTAGAATCATCTAGATGATTATGGTCGTTCACGGATTGCCCGTTGCCTTTGCTCCTGTTCTCGGCTGAGGATTCCGTGACCACTATCAGTCCCCTTTGTACCTTCGCGACAGTGTGGGTGAGGAACAGTGTGGCTCAGCCACAACGGGAGGGCAACTGGAGCATGATGGATTTCCTTAATGCATATGGTGGTCCTGAGCCACTTCTTAAACTCCTGGGATACAGTGGCCAGCGAAAGCAACCACAGTCGCTCCCCTTGGTGGTCTTACCCCACCGCAGGGGCATAAGTGGGCCAGTGCCCTGCCGAAATGGTGATGAGCCTGAGATAAACCACTGACAAGGAGGGAGGGCGTGTGTTAGCTCACAGTCTGAATGCCTCCATCCGTGGCTGGCCTGCGGCAAGCAGGGCATCGCAGAGGAAGCGTTGGCAGGGAAGGATGACCTTAGTGACCCGACCCCACGTTCTAACACTTCACTGCCTCCCAGGACCCCATGGGCTCGGGACTAGGCACTCAACACATGAGCCCAGGAGGGCATTCAAGATACAAACTAGAGCAGTGAAATGACATGGATGTAATTACCAAGATGGGAGAGGGCTTTGCCAAAAGGGAAGAATCCTGGGAAAGCCTACGTGGGTGCCTCCAAGAAGGGACACCTTAGATGAGAGAGTTCATGTGGGGAAGACAGGGGATAGGCTCTGGCGGTGGCAGGGAAACGCACGTTTGTACCAGGGACCGACATTAAGGGGGACAGGGAGCAAAAAGAAGACTAGTGTGGCTAGGATGCAAGGAAGGAGGGCAAGGTCAGGAAAGGAAGCTCTGTGAGGCTGCAAGGGACACATAATACCCTAAAGGTCAAGGGCCAGCTCAGCTGCTCACCGCCGTCCCTCAGAGCCCGCACCACTGAGCCTCCAGGGAGTCCAGCGTCCTTAGCTATAAGCAGGGTAATGCAACCTGTGCCACTGATCTTAGGAACCCTAAAGGAAATGTCATTTCCATATGCATGAGTTTTCATCATAGCTGCTCCATAATTAAATAACATAATTAGTAGAAGTCATTCCTAACTGATCTTCCACATCTCTTTCCTAGGCAATTGCACTCTCCGTCCAAGTTAGCGGGGGGGGGGGGGGGCTGTCAACTCGCCGCAGTCTAGAGTCACCTGGGAAAAGAGACTCAACTGAGTAATTGTCTCTATCGGGTTGCTCTTGCTGGCGTGTCTGTGAGGGACTGTCTTGAGTATTAATTGATGGTGCACTTAGCCCACTGGGGGTGGCTCCATTCCCTGGTCAGGTCGTCCCGGATTGTATAAGGAGGCTAACTAAGCATACGCCTGAGCAAGCCAGAGCAAGCCCTCAAGCAGTTTCCATCCATGCTTCCTGCTTGATTTCCTGCCCTGACTTCCCTCAGGGAGGGACTGTAACCTGAATGCTAGATAAGCCCCTTCCTCAAATACTAATACAGTCCTGCAAGATCCAACTCTTTCCTGTGAGACCTAATCCAGTGTGGAAGTAAGTTAATCCACCTCTGAACAAAGACAACACACACACACACACATACACATATACAGGCATATAAATACACACATGCACATGTATACATACACGCACATGCACACATACATACATGCATAACACACAGGCATGCAAACACATGCATACCCACACATACACACATGCACACACACATAAATACACACATGCACACATATGTGTATTACACATGCATACACACAAAAACACACATGCACAAATACATACATTCACATGCACACACAGGCATGTACAGACACATACCTCAAAGTCAACATTTTAAAATTTTTTACACACACTATTGGTGAGGGCAGTGCTCACCTTTGATATGCCCATCATGGCCTCCAGAGGGACAAACCATATTCCAACATCAGCAGTCAGTATGTGCTGAAATAAAAGATAAGTGAATTAATAATATGCCACTAGACAAGAACTTTTCTGCTAATGGATAAGTAAAATCAGAAGGAGTGGCATTCCCAGGCCACAGGAAGCTCACCCATGCAGACACGGGATTCTGGGTGGATGTACAGGGTTCTGGGTGAGGCAGGGCAGGGAGTACAGTGGCTGGGTAGAAGGGACCTCATCCTGCCTGGCTGCCCAAGCTGGGATTGCTCTCATCATGGGTCTTTTTCAGCCTTGGAACGTGGGCCCTTTTTGGGTCTCCAGACCCTGACCTTTGGTATGGAACTCACAGCATGGGTCCCCTTCTTCTCAGACCTTCAGGCTGTGACAGGAGCTCCTCCTTGGTCCCCCAGCCTGCCTGTCTCAGGTCTTCTTGGCTACATAATGCTTGTGACCCTGTCTTCCCTGGCCTGTCTTCCCAGCTCACCGGTGCTTACATTTCCCTTGTGAGCATGGCGCTTATCTCAGCAGGGATGGAAGAGTCTGCGGGCTGGAGAACAGACTGCTGTGAGTGGGGCTCTCAGGAGGACCCTTGAGATCTGGGGGCACAGGAAAGGGCAGCAGGCAAAGCCCAGGCGGAATCTCAGGGGAGGCCTCAGCCCTCGCTTTTCCCGCAGGGAAGTCCTAGCTTGGCTGGGAGAGGAGACACCAGACTTGACTAGAGGCTGTCTGGGGTACAGTGGGGTGGGGTGGGGTGGAGTGGGGTGGGGTAGGGTGGGGGGACCTTACCTTTGGCTATGTTATCCCTGCGAAGCTCAGTAGCACAGGCCTCTAAAGCCAGTGTCTGGAAAAGGTCCCTGGTAGACATGTCTCACACAGACTGGACGGACACTGGAGGACACTGGAGGCAGGAGGCCTGGACGCAAGCAGAAACGACCAGAAAGGAGCTGGAGAAATCACCTACTGCTTCTGCATCAACTGTTCCCTTTATTTGGTTGTGACAAACCCTCTACAAACCCTCTCACTGAGCGGCAGGTACCTCTACACTGTCATTTTAGGAGTCAGTCAGACACCTCTTTCTACTGTTTCCCCACATATCAATCAGGGTCGATGGTTTAGAATGCGAATTCCTCTGGCCCTTGACCCTTGACCCTTGACCCTTTGCTAGCTCCCATCAGACAAGTACAAAGCGCTAACTTCCAGTCTCATCCTGGGACACTGCTCTCCACGGCCAACTGACAGATCCTGGAAAAGAATACCAGACACCCAGTTGACATCTTGCTTCCAAGGCAGCATCCACTCTCTCCCAAGAGCACCAAGGATTTGGGCTAACCGCACCAATGCCCCCCCAACCGGGCCCCTTTCCTCCCCCAAACCAAGATGGTTTGTCACAATAGTCAAGCCTGGGGATAGATTAACCAATAAAAGCAAGAGAAAACAAAGATGAAAACCCACAAAATGAGTCTTTAGACCCAAAGGCAGAGTGCCCACAGTTTTAGCGAAGGTTCATCACTGGTGGTATGTGCCTAGCTCCATGCCCCGAGGTCAAGCAAAACAGCCTTTCTGCTTAGGGACTGCGTTTGACTGTTCTGCTCTGTGTCAAAAGGAGAAGAGAAGCCACACGGTTCTGCACTGTGACTGGACTCCACTGCCCTTCACTAGGGATGCAAGCTGGGAAACGGGAGTATTTGGAGTAACCGCATCCCAACCACATCAGCCATGCCTTTGGCTAGGATTGGATGCGACCACCTTAGCCATTGTCTAAGGTGTCTGTGGGCTGTTAAATAGCAAGTACTGTCTGTTTCACAGGAAACAGTTTTTACTGTATAAAGTAATCTTTGTAGGAGGTTTGTATTTCTCCTGATGCTTAGGAAGTGCCCCGGGACAGAAGTCAGGGTAAACAGTCTAGATTTATTACGACTATTAGCAATTGGACAAGTGTTATGAAGCCATTCATCAATCTTTGATACTGACAGCTGCAGAAGCGACTTCCCTGCGCACAATGGGATGCAGAGTAAGTTGTCCACATCCATCTTCTCCACGTGCCCTGGATCCCGGTTGCAGGTACGTGGAGAGGGCTGGGCATGCTGTCTGGGACACGGGCTCTGTAACTCAGGCAGGATTAAAAGCTCCGCCATCTTGAGAACAGGAGACACACCACAGGCTACCCGGCTAATGACTGCCCCCAGGCAATCAAAGGCAGGTGGCTTTGGTGTCTGGATTGTTTTTTATTCTTTCCGTATTTTTTTTCTGTCTCCACTAAAACTCTACTAATAAAATTGGCTATGGCACTTTTACCACAGTCCCGAGAAAAGGGACAAGAAGTGATTTCCCTGACCAGCTGAGAAACAGCTCTAAAGAATACTATTCTTCGGATCTTTTGAGGCCACATTGGATGGACCATGCACGCTGAAGTTAGTTTTTCTTGCCCATTCTTCAATCCTCATCTTGTCCTTGTGACCAAATGACTATCTTCTATGTATGTATATGCCGCTAAGGAGAATGAGGGACTATATACCTTTCGTGAGAGTTGGCTGCTTATAGATTTTGAGTTACCTGGTTTGTTGAGCTTATTAACATCAGCAACAGGGACAGAAAGGTCACCTTAGCTCACCCTCCACTCGGGGGTTTACAAAGACTGAAAGACGGTTCCTTGAGTATTAGCTTGTATTCGAGATCTCAAGAAAAACCACTGCACAGAGCACACTAATGCAGGAGGAGTTGATCTGTAAAGTGGAGATCACAGTAACATAATGTTCACACATTGATGGGGCTGGATGAGAGGAGACTGAAGGTTCCCAACATAAAGGATTGATAAGGAAATGGCAAGGCTGACTAGCTGATTTGATTGGTGCATAATACATGTGTTGCAATATGATACTATAACCCCAGGAAACTCTGTGCTACGTATTAATTTTTTTTAAAAAGTTAAAGGCTAAAGAAAACTCTCCATCCATCTTTAAAAAGTAAAGAAAGCAACATGAGCGGTGAGAGTGTTCAGGGAGAATAGTTTGTGAGGTGGGAGAAACCAGACCATGTTTACTGGCCACTTTCTGCCAAGGGTCCCCAGGGGACAGGCCTTGCAGATGACAGAGGAGGGCGTGCAGGCCATTAACATCACACTGTTCTGAGAAAGGGGAAATCCCAGTGCACAGTGTGGTTGGAAGAAGGAAGCGTGAAGCTTGGGTGACAGACACTCCACTCCTCGACCTTCAGCTTTCTCTTTGAGGGAAACCATCACCTAGGCCGGTGGCCCTCAACCTCCCTGATGCTGTCCCTCTGTAACACAGTTCCTCATGTTGTGGGGCCCCTCGACCATAAAGTTATTTTTGTTGCTACTTCATAACTGCAATTTTACTACTATTACGAGTTATAATGTAAACATCTGAAATGCAGGATATCTGATTATGTGACCCCCAAAGGGGTCACAACCCACAGGTTGAGGACCACCTGCCTAAGACCATAGAGAGAGAAAAGCAGTAGCGTCCTGAAAGTAGCAAGAACTAGCTGAGCCAGGATCCGTCTACACCGAGGGTCCAGGATCCATTCACACTGAGGGTCGAGCTGAAACTGGATTGGGTTTATAGGGCACCAGCTTGCTCCATTGCTCGTTCTCTGGGAGCTCGGGGCTGGGAGGCACCGCAGGATGGTAGATGGGACTGGATTCCCAGTACTGCTCAGATTCTGACTAGGAACTTCAGCACAGAGGTGCTGGAAGCCTAACAGCTCGAGGGGCTTGTGGCCACCCACCCAGGGACAGCTATGCCCCAGCCCGAGCTCAGCAGCACAGACATCCGGGGCAGGGGCCCTCTCAAGAGCCCTGGGATCTCTGGGAGCCTGGGGGAATGCCTGTAGCTTACAGTACTTTGGGCTAACAGCAAGGAAAGGAACGACAAGTCTGCAATGTTCTTTCTAAAAAGTAAAGAGGAGCTCAGGTTCTTTGTCGTTTATTATTTAGTTTGAGAAGGAGGCTTGTTTATTTTTACAGTTGTGTTTGGTCTCCACCATATTATCCTCCCTGCTTCTCCCCAAATCATGCTTTTTCTCCTTTGCTGGGAAAGTTAGAGGGAGGGGGGGCAGGTAGAAGGGGGAGAGGAGGAAGAGGAGCGGGGAAAGGACAGGAAGATAGTTTTGTGTTCAGGCCTCTGTGTGTACCCATTTGTTTGACAAGTCTGTGTCCCATCCTGCAGCCTGGGCTGTGATTCAGCTTTGCTTCACGGGTTACAAAGACTGGATGAGGGAGAGTTACCATTTATCAATTACACCTCGGCGGGTTAGCACGTGGGGGGGTTTGGATTGCTGCCCTGACTTGTGGCCCCTGAGACACACTGGGTAGAGCATCACAGGCCATCGGATCTTCAAGTACACAACTATGAGTCAGCACACTGAGACTGTAAACTATGTGGGGGTGGGGTTGGTGTTCCAGCCTGTAGACGGTTTCCTCGGGCATCCCTCCCTCCAGGAATTATTTTGGGTTACTGTGATGAGCAGATCAAGGATGGCATTTTAAGAGACGCATCAGGCCCATTTTAAAAAGCTTTATAATTACGAGAAAGATTTGGCACCAGTAGGTGTGCTTCCCTGTCCTCATCCTAGGTTTGTAACTAGATCCCAGTGACATTAGCAAACCTGAAGGCCTGTAGCCATCTCCTTCCACACCTTCAACTGGCGTCTAGGCCCAGCTGTGTGGCAATCATGCGCTTCCGCACCAAGGCCGGGGTGGCTTTCCGTGTGGAGTGAGAAGGTAGCCTACAGGAAACTTCCTGTTTTCTTTCCGGTTTTCTGCCTTTCTAGCTCTCTTCGGTAGGATGCCTGGATTTCAGGGTGATTACTTTTACACAGTCCTGCTGTTTTCCTGGTTGTAGAAGTGACATTTTTACCTATTTGTGAGGTTTTTTTTTAATAACTAAATTTGTAAAATGAGATAACAAAATTTAAAAACATAAGTGATGAATGCTGCCCGTTTTCATTCTCCACCTGAGTGCCAGTGTGGGCTTCACACAGAGACCCTAGGCGAGGGCTCTGACTTGGTTGGGGGCCTGGCTCACAGCCCACCCTCCTCACTGCTCACTGATGAGAGAAGAACTTGGGGGAAGCTTCCACTCTGCATGGGGAAGTAGGCTAACGGTCCTCTCTGGGGGGGGGTGACTGCCACCAGAGTGCTCAGCTCGATGCCAGGCACTGGCGAGCACTCAGGAAATGCCCTCTTAGGGGTGCAGGAGAGAGTGAGGAGTCTCCATGCATCCTCTGATGAGAGTCTAATGAAAACTTCTGGTTTCCTGGCTTTTCCAAGGATCTCAGGTTCTTATGAACGTAGCAATGAGGATATGCCTGCTCTCCCTGCTCAGCAGCTTAAAGCTGATGGGCTTTAGACATTAAGCCATCTCTAGACTTGAATAATCCCTAAATCGTTTTCTAATCGTTTATTAAAAGAGCCAAATAAAATTAGCATTGATGAGACCAAGCCTGCTCGCTCTCCCGTGCTCTGGGTGAATTATTTCAACTCCATCCAATCTGCTGTCACTGGAGACTGAGCCCACCTCCCAGCACACATGCCCCATGACAGGATTTTCATTTGCACAAATGTATTTCAGCTTTCAGAGCAATCTTTGCGGCGATATCACACATCCTCCAGGAGGAGAATAGGATGGCTGTCATCCAACAAAGACACAAGAAATACAACTGTGAAACTACATAGACCGGAGCAGCACAGGGAATCTAGTCAGTGAGGTGTGGAGCCAGGAACCAGTCTCTGGATCCCGAACACAAGCCTCCTAGCTTCTCACTCCCTGTCTGCTCCTGCACTTTAATCCTGAGTAGGACACTTAGCCAGTGGTTCTTAGATGGGGGTTGCACAAGATGGCCCAGGGAATCTACAACAGGGCGAGCATCAGCCCCACCTCTAGAGGCTCGAAG